TGCAGCTGGAGGACGGCGCAGGGCCCCTCCGCTTAGCTCGGGGCGGGGGGGACGGCTTTGACAAAGTGACTGCGGCTGCACGGCGACTTTCAGAGCGAGGTATTGGGTAGAACAGGTGGCAGCGAGTTATTTTCACAGCAGACGCTTTTTTTTTTTTTTTTCAGAGGTTAATGGGGATCAGACATTCACTGCTGATTGTAACACACTCAGATGCCCTGCAGGAAGAGGCTTTGCAGCTCCAACTAATCTTTTCTAGGTGGGTGCTGCCTGATAACAGATGAGTCATTCAGCAGCACTCCAGGTGATAAAATTGAAGCAGCTACGGTTTTCCTCGCAGCAGGTCTGCACACCGCTCTGAAGGCAGGAGTGCAGCTTGCAGCCCTCTGCTGACTTCAGTTTAGCAGATCGCGTTAGCAAAAAAGAGCTCCCTCGCAGCAGGAGTCAGCCACCACCCAAGCGCGCCGCGGCAGGGCAGAGGTCCCGGCCCCTCCCCGAGCCCACACTTGAGTCCCTGCTGCTCTGCACTAGCTTTCTCTGCAAGCACCAACGTTGCCTACTTGAGTGCAAGTATCTTCATTTTGCTGCATGCAGACATGTCCTAAAAAACTGTTCATAATCTCCCTTCTTTCTCTAATCAGCAGCACCTTGCCTTGAGCTGCCCTTGATTTCTCCTTAGACTTGGATGCTGGCCTAGCGGGACGGTAACTGGCTTCTTGCTCCTGCTGCACGACACTGCTCTAGATCCAGAGCTGGGGACAGAAAGTAAAGGACAAAGTTCCACCACTGAATTTAAAAGCCAAAGTAGCTCTGACTTTCTCAGGAGCGCTTCATCATCACGCTGGACATAAGCAGCAGTATTTCCTTTTGGCAAGGCTCTGCATTTTCCACACACCTCATTATTCCCCAATTCCACATTTACTCGCTGTCTAGAGTGACAACAGAGCATCACAGACCATCACGTCACTTCATTTTCTGCATTTTTACTTATTTACATGTATGAACACTTAACAAGTGTCTGTCACATTTTATCTTACATATTCACACAAGCAAGTGCAGCTCAAAAGGGAGCGAGGCAGGGCGCTGCCAGGCATCTCAGATGCAGACTGCTGCGCCCATTCATGTCCAGCGCCGATAAGCTCCTACCATTGCTTTCTGTGCCGTATCCAACTGCCCTTGGGAACCATCTGCACCCTCTCTGTTTTACTTCTGCTCTAACTGAAGTTTTGGCAATCAAGGGCTGCAGCTACTTAAAATTAAGCTGAGATCAGACGATAGGTATTGGCAAGCCAAGAGCCCACATTCCTTTTCCAAGGGCTTAATCAGATTCTGTTGAATATCAACAGCAATATTGATCAGGTCCCCTCTGAGCCTGAGGATGAATGCAACAGAGAAGCCCTTTTCCAGTCGCTCTCTACTGCTTCCTTGCCACACAGTAAAGCTTTTAGCTGTCTCCCTTAGAGATACCACCCCCCCCCTTCATGGAGCACTAGCATGCATCTTATCCAGACAGTCAGTCCAGAACAAGACAAGGCGGCTATCTTTGTTCCAGCAAAAGTCTGTAAAGTCTTTGAGCAACCGATCAGCAAATTTCTCATCCCCAGTGGCACTGGATCGCCATGTTTTGGTCAGCATGGTGTTGTAGGCCCAGTTGTAGCCAATGCGCTCTTCACAGAACATGTTCTGGTTGGTGGAGCTCGTGGAGTTGCGCCGGCGTCGCTGCTGCCCACAGGAGAATTTCCGCTTGGAGTATGGGAGCTGCAGAAACACCGTCCCTGGGGGAAACGGACAGGACTTTAGTCTCGGGCAGACCTAAGCCTCTACGACTGGCAGCTGACTCAGGAGATTCTGAAAGGGAAACTGGACTGAGTTTCATTTAATTGCTTTTTCAGCAAGATAAAATGAGACATGCTTTTCCTTCTTCCCTTTTACATGCTATCTCCTTCTGCAAATTACAACACGGAGAGAGAGCAATTAGTCTCGTCTTTCTCTTGGTGGAAGGGAATGCAGCAAAGCTGTAGACTCTGACCCATCTTTCCATCTTTACACCAATTTCCACTCTCTTCTGCAGTCTTCCAAAAGCTCTTTTCCTGTCATTGCCTTCATGTCCCAGCAATTCATTTGAATATACTATCGTTTTACTGTAATATGCCATGCATGGAGCTTAGTTAAAAGTGCTGATGATCACCAGCATGACTGAAGAAGAATACTGAGGGCGAGTGGATCCTCAGCGCTCTCATCGTCTCCCGCACAGCGCAGGCAGGGAGAGATGCATCTGTAACTGAGCTTAAACCAGAAATTAAGAGCAGAACTCCTGAGAGGAGGGTACTGACTTCTCCCAAACCCCTTCTCTCCGAGCTTCTAGATACACATTTGTAAAAGCTGCACGCAGAATAAGCTCTGGCTTTATTATTGTATCTCTATCTCCTGGAAATAAAAAGTTTCAGAGACACCATAAAGACTGGATTTCAAACCAACGCCATTCATTACATCAGCAGCAACACTTTGTGCTTTTTTCATTCTGTCTCTCAATTTTGTCTGGTTTGTGTTGGCTGATACATTTACTTGTCATCTGACTAGGGACATAATGAGGATCAGCGCCACTGACACAAAACACAAAATGACTGTGAAATGGTTCTTTTGTTTGTAACAGCCTCCTCCTTGCCCCCATGCCTGCCAAGTATTGCTCACCTGTGACATGGATATACTGGGGCTTGTTCTCAGCTGGAAAGTTGAATGCAGAGGCTGAGTATTTATCTTGTACAAATCCAAATCTGGGGAAACAAACACCAGGAGAAAAAGGAAAAAAAAAAAGAAAGAAAGAAAGAAGCTGTTGCAGCTAGGATTCCTTCAGCCAGGGCAGAGGCAGGAGGGAAAATCTTCCACAATCACATCCAAAGGCCCCTTTTTTCACGGGCTGAAGGCAAGGGAAAAAGGGAAGAGGAGGCCTGAGCTCCAAACGCTCTCTGCCCTGCGAGGCACAGCGTGAAAGTTCTGTAACACTGCACTGATCTCCCTGCTAGCGAGAGCCAGTACCTCAGTTTGGGAGGGCACTGAGCAGCGTCTGACCAAGTGGGGCAGCTGCACACGAACGAGGGGAGAGTTCTAGTACAGCAAAACGTTCCTTGGGTACGCTTCAAGCTGTAAGATAATTTTGTTTCTGCTGGGCAACGTTCCACACAACTTCAGGCAGCTCACCTGACAGCTCTTTGCAGTCTGGAGAATACTCGCTCATTCCTCTTCTGCTTTCTGAGCTAATGAAGGGATATTTCCAAGCTCAATTCCATTACAAAAGCCAGCCTCTCTATCGTGAAAAAGAGCCTGGCGGCAGCTCAAGCACGCAGAGGGGCAAGGCTAGGTAGAATTCAAAATGTTCTGCAATTTCATCTAAAATTGTTCCCGACCTCCTGGATGCAGCTCATAACCCAGTCTCCTGCTTATTGTCGATCACTGGTTGTCATCCAGCTCAGGACTACACTGCGTACACATGGAGGAAGTAACAGTCCCTTCTCACAGGGAACTCCATTTGCAGCCTACTGCTTCTAACCTAGAGTAGCAGGGCACCCTGCAAAGCCAGTGCCCTGCCCAGGACCAGGTAAGGTTTGCTCCAGTGACAAGCTGAAACACTGTATCTGCCTGCCTCCTTCACCCCCACAGAAACACTTCCAGGCTGTTTAGTTATGTTTTAATCTAATAATCTGCAAGCAGACTTCAGAGGCAGACTGCGCCGAACCCACGTGCGAGCGCTCAGCATGGGTCTTCACCTCACCTCAACCCTTTCAGCCCGTCTGCTCTACATACCTGTATGCTATTGCTTCCTGGAGGAGATGCATACGGTCCCAGTATGTTTCTGGCTCGAAGCCTGAAACAAACAAAAAGGTAACGATTACCTAGTAAAGCTCCTTAATTTCATTTGCTCTTTCAAAATTTCAGTTTTCCTCAGACTCCTTCTGTGCACTTGGTTTTTTTCTAGCCATCTCTTTTAGCCGTACTACTTTCTGTCAGCTGTCCCTTGAATGTCAGCCTGTTAGACATATCTTGTATACACCAGTAGCAAATTCATCCCTGAATTCAGCTTTTGCGTCCCTAGAGGCGAAGGAAAGGGCAAGGAAGGAGAGCTGGCTGCTGTGTATCACTATGGAGTGCACCAAAATTACTTACTTCAGAGGCAGCGGGGCTACAGTGGCCTCACAGCATATGGGTCT